ATTGTCGCGAAATGTATTATTTTTCCCCGCACTAGCATTGGTCACTCGCGCGAAAAAAAAAATTCTGGCGAAGTCGGATTTGCTGACGCTATCAGCGTGCACTATCGGGATTTTGAGCACGCTTACGTATAATGAATTTGATTGCGCGACTCTGCTAGCTATGTTCTAATTGTTGTTAAGCGCTTCTTTATCAACATTATAAATTAAGATTCTTGACATGCAATGAGGGTTAATTGTGAGACTGAACATTACAACATGTCCATCGAATTTTCATCAACGCAAAAGTTTCATGGCTCGACTTTTCTCTCTCTCTCGTTTTTAGAAAAATTCTATTTTTCCGAAGGGAACATGCAAGAAGAACTTACTTTTGTATCTCAACCCTTGCAATTTAATGATATGATGTTAACATGCGCCCCGGTGTTCCTTTTTTTTTTCTTTCCAGCATGTGAGCGGCAGCTGTAAACGGACATCATATGGGGGGAGGAGGGGAGGGGAGGATAAAGGCTGCAACGCTTTACCAGTATGGTGTGAACGTATATCGACAAAATTTTCTTTTCTTTTTGAGAGGAACATCAGGTTGAAGGGGCCTATTGTACACATGGACCGCTGGAGAAACGAGTACTCTTCAGCACTTTAGGCCTCTAGTACACGATCGCCTTTCTTAGGCAAGCATTAGTTTCAAAGTTAGCAAGGAACACGACGAGAAATGTTTATGAGAAGGCAAATGAGTGCAGTTTCTGTTGAATTTAGCTCAACAGTCCCCAGCGCACGCTTCCAATGTTGCTTCTTCCAAGAATTCAAAGAAAGACTTAGTAGCTACGCACTAAAGCAGTTTTAGACGAAACATAGCAAAATAGATAAGGATGCACGAGTAAAACAGTAATTTATCATCTATCAAGAGGGGATAAATAAAAGAGGATAAAGCGCATTATCTATGTAATGAGTCTCAATTATTATAATAATCTTTTGGTTTCCCTTTCCTTCTGATACCAACTTGTCTGAATGTCGATTCCAGATCGGAAAGCTCGATGGAGAGAGGTTGTATATCCTCCTGTTTACTGCCGACCCCTTCCCTCACAAATTTGGACTGTACACAGGCCAAGACTGTTTACTGCCGACCGCTTCCCTCAC